AGGTTGGGGGGGGTGGGTCGCTTCAAACCCCGATTCACATGGAAAAACAACTCAAAAACCGTCAAAGCAACCGGGAGACGACCCTTCCCCCAGGCAGGAAGAGGCAGAAACTCAAAAACCAAAAGGGGGAGGAGTTCAGGGGAGAAAGGGTGGGGAGGGGTGAGGGAAAACTCAAAAGTGAGGTGATCTGGTTGAAGCACTAGGTAGGGAACTCGACAGTGTCAGACATCTCAACTATTCGGCAAGCCGCAGCTCCAAGGGAGGGAGGGGGGAGCTCTGCCTGGCATTTTGGGGTAAGAGGAGCTGCTGGGTGCTCCTCTAGACTCCAAAATGAGGATGCGGGTGGGGAGGGGAGGGGGGGAGAGATGCCAAGAAGTTCTGCAGCCCCCACGGGCTCATTGAAGCTTAGATTACACCTGTCCAGGGAAGGGAGGGGTTCCGAGCCTGATTCCAAGGCCCGGTTCTCAGCCCCTCCATTGAACCCCAGCCTATGGCCCAGGGAGGGGGGGTACTGCCCCATGGCCTGCCTTGGGCATCTTCCTGTTCTTGCCCCCTTTCTACCATCCTGCCTCCTCCCTCCCACCACCAGCTCCCTCTGCCATCGAGATAGCGTGCATGGCCTGGAGGGACCTGGCTGGAGCTCGGCCCACCGGCTGACCAGCGGCCTTAACAAGTTGTTATCATTTTTAGTTGGACGTTTTGCTGCACTATCGATACTGATTTTATTTGCCTTTTTTGGTACCCTCTCTCTTGCCCCACTTTTTTTTTTGGTTCTAGCAGAAAATGGGATGACATCTTGCCAATCAAATGACTTCCTTGCCCGCCCCCCCCCCCCCGCTGTGGCGGCCAGAGACGTGGGGCTTTCCAAATGACAAGGTGTAATCTAATATTCCCCACTCCCCCCCTCCCCCAGAACAGAGGAAACAGCAATGCAAAGGGTGTGAGGCAGGCAGCAGGCGAGAGGTTCTAGAGCTCAGTGTTCCTGCAGAACGCCCCCTCCCTGCCGCCCCATCCTGGAGCCCCCTCTCCCCTTGGGATGAGGGTGGGATGAGGAGAAGGGCTGGGTTCTGTCAGGGTCATGCCAGGGGCCTTGGGGGCAGGGCAGGGGGAGGCACGACCAGGCGTGATCAGCAGGAACTGGGGGGCTCACCAACACACCCCAGTGCAAATCTTTCTGGAGATACAGGAGGTTGAGGGGGATTCCAGGCCCAGTATTTGTATCTAATCCTTTTTGGGGCTGGGGGTGGAAGTAAGGAAAACACCTAGAAGTCAGACCCACCAATCTGACATGGCTTGGGTGCCAGAGGTTTAATTTTAAAAAACCATCTGTCCCATAAAAATCCCACACCATGGTTTGATCTGCAAAGGCCTGGGGACGGGACACAGAGAGAGTTCTGGGGAGCACCCAGAAATCGGGGCAATCTAGACCCACCACTGGCATTGGGCATCGAGTCCCATTCCTGAGCTCAAGATTCGAGACCTGTCATTGAAGTATCCCAGCCCCATCTGACCTCCTCCCAAACCCTAAAGGCATCCTGAGTCCCTGGAAGGTGGACCGCTCTTCCCCATGCCTCCAGCACACTCCAAGTTCTCCCCGCAAGCCCTCACACCATCAGGAGGGCGGTGCACCATTTAACTGGGTCCCACGCACCATGGGTTGATGATGCTATGTCAAATGTCAAGTGGTAAAGGCGCCACCTTTAGCCACCAAAGCGAGACCGGAAAGCCTTACTACGTTAAAGAGACAAACAAGAAAATCAACAGCCAGGAAGAATGTAATCTGATCACCTTCCCACCTTGTTAAAAACTGGAGCTGCATCTTCCCCAGGGGAGTTCTGGGACTGGGAATGGCAGATGTATTAAAAAGTGGGCTCGGTTTGGACATCGGCCCTTTGCATCTCAGAGAGATCCGTTTCAAGAGGAGAAGGGCCCCGTCTGAATATCCCGCCCCCTGAACCTCCCAGGGGCAGCAGAAGCTGGTGACGGGGAATTAAAGGAGTCCAGCTGGAGGTAGGGACTCCTGGCAGCCTGCCCTAGCAACAGTGTAAATGCTTGTAGCTTTCAGGGTGGAACACGCCAGCTGGTCCCCTCTTCTGGTGGACTGGGGCTTCTCTGCAAGGTAGCTCAGCGCCCAAGCTGGGCCTGTCGTTTTTTGTTTGTTTTTTTTTTGCCTGTTCGTACTCCGTGGCCACCAAATTCCCTGGCAGAGTGACAGGAGGAAAGATGAAAGATGTGGCTCTAGGGCGGCCACTGATCTCGCAGGAATTGGGTCGGAACCCGGAGAAAATGAAACCACGGGATGGGTTCAGAAAAAGCACCAGCGAAAAACGAGATCTGAGCACGTGAGTTCACTTCTGCCCTACAGCTCTTTTCAAAGCAGTTTTGCCATAGCCATCTTTTTCCAATGGTGGCTCTGCGAAGTACATAATGGGCCAGATGAGGTCCCCAAAGAAGGGAAGTGTCTGCTCGAACTCTTTCCTTCCCCGCTCTACAATCCCACTAGATGATCTCTTCTATGCCGGACACTAACACAGGGCACTTGAGCAGTAATTCGCTCAATGGAATCCTCCCAACTCCCCTGTGAGTTAGAGCAGGGATGACCCTTCTTGTGCAGATGAGGAAATGGGACCCCAAGGGATCAGGTGACTAGCCCAAGGTCACATGGCCAGAGAGGGGCAGGGGCAGCATTTGAATCCAGGTGGGCCAGAGCCCAAGACCTTGAGCCACTTCTCAGCTCTAATTCACTGGGACCCAGCTTTGGTGGAGGGGTTGGGAGAACCTCTCCTCTACTTTTTGGAGCTCCTCTGCAGCTCGGCCTGGCAGCTCTCACCCTGGGTTAAAAAGGAGACAGGAGAAAGCAATCTCCTCTCACTGCATCTAAAGTCCTCTTGCCAACTTGGCCCCGGACTTCCCAGTAAGTGGGAGATTAGGGAAGGAAGGTGAGGGACAAGAGGGTAAAAATGGTGGCCCCAACAAGCTGGCCTCTTCTCTCAACTCCCACCTACGCTGGGTAGTCAGCCGAGGGTCCAGGGGCTAGAAATCTAAATGGATTTTTTTATTTGGGGTTGGAGTAGTATTCTCAAGGGCTTGACTTTCTTCAGGGAGGGAGAAGAAGATGGGAGCGTGCATCTCCAAATCTCCGAAGGTTTGCAGGAGTGAGAGAGGTACTTTGGTGGGGGCGGGGGGGGGGGGGCAGAGACAGAGAGAGGCAGAGACAGAGAGAGGCAGAGACAGAGAGAGAGAGAGACAGGCAGTGGGAGAGCTGGGGAGGCAGAGAGAGAGGGGGGAGAGGCTATGCCCAAAGTTCCCCTGGGTTTTCTCCAGAATTCCACAGTTCTGATGCTTAGGTACTCAGAAAGTGACCATGCTGTGTTGCTGGACAAGATGCCTGTGACTGGGCCCAGAGCCGGTGAGGGGGTGGAAGGAGCAGCCAACGTCACCTGGGAGGCGGAGGCATAGCACTGTAGGGCGGGCTAACTGCCTGCGTATTTCTTCCAAAGTTGGTCATGCTACGTTTTCTGACAGACAGTTTTGTATTTGTGCCCAGCCAGGATGCCAAAGTCATCACGCCAGCTGCCATCCTAAGCACTGCCTATGTGCCAAGCATGCATCATTTCGGGAGGATGATCCAAGGTAAGGTAGCCACTTCCCACATTTGGACTGCCACTCTAGTGAACAAGAACTTGAAATGCTGGTTGTTGCCCATTTAGCTACGCTTCAAATGCCTGTTTTCTGGGTCGTTTGGGAGAGTGGGAGGTGGTCTCATGCTGAGGCAGAAAGACAGGGACACGCCTGCTTAAGCCCCCTTCCAACATGGCTGCGCTGTGGGGCTAAGGCACCACCTCTGGGGAAAAGGGGGCTGGACGGCGAGGCCAGGCAAATGGGGCTGCTCTCCCCCACACCCCCCACCATCTGTCTATGTCACCTCCCTAGTGCCCTTGAGCCTGGGCGGTCACTTTCTGCCCCAGCATCCCAGCTGTGGGACCCCTACTGCCCTCCTGGATGGTAGCTGGGACAGGAACACTGGCTTTTAAATCACAATGCGTTTGGAGAACAACCACATAACAGCTCAGCCCAAGAAACCGAAAGCAAATAGCACGGAAACACGAGACAGAACCAAAGACGAAACGCTTTGGGGTAGAAGGGGACCAGGGTGAACGGGGATGAGAGGGGGGAAAAAAAAACGAACTGATCGGTTTTTTCCCCCCAAAACAAAACAAAACCAAAATAATTAGTAATAATAATTAAATAAAAGAAAGAAAGAAATACGAAGGAAACCAAAGGAGAAAAACAGAACAGGAGACGAGAAACACTCCAACAGAAGGCGCTGGGAATTCACCAAACCAAACCAACAAGAGTGGCATGCAGAGAAATTTTTACATTCTCCCGGCATGCATCAGGCCCAAGTTACCATGACGACGAGGAGTGCAAAAAACTTAGCAACAACATTACCAACGGATGCATAGAGGCGACCACAATGCAAGCATCGCATGTGTGCGGCCGGCCCTAGGCCGGGCTGGGCGCGGCTGAAATTTTCGTGTCTTTCTGGGTTTTTGCTCTCGCTTGGCGGTTTTTTTTGTTTTGTTTTGTTCGCTTTGTGCTTACTATTCGTATTCCGTCATTTATTTATTTATTCGATCTTTCACTCTTATTTTCCGTGTGAGTGTCTGAGTGTGCGCGTGTGCGTGTCTGTGTGAGTGTCGTGTGTGTGCGTGTCACTTTCAGAATGTAAAAATGTGGGTAAAGAAAGTAAAAAAGAAAAAAACACACCAACCTTCTCGAAGCTCTGAGGGATGTAAAGGGGGTTTGATGCAGAACACAATGACATGGGGAGAAGAGAAAAAATAGGGGAGATACAGAGAGTAAAAAGAGGACTTCCCAAGGCTAAAAGCTGCAATAGTTTGTTGTTTTTTCTTTAAACCAAAAAAAAAAATTAAAATTAAAAAATAAAAAAGAACAGCAATGACCTTTTTTCTTTTCTTGACATATTACATTCGTCTTCCACGACTCTTTTTTTTTTTTTTAAATTCATTTCTGGAGCATCTGAGACCCAGGCAAAGATTGGGAGGCTGGACCCCCAAAAGATCAGAGGCTCATGCTGCGGACCCCACCTCCAGGGGGCTGAGGACATGGGGGTCCCCTTCCCTCAGGGCACCCTTGCTAGAGGCCTCCCCCCCACCCCATGCCTGCTGTCCACGCTCTCTCCTTGAACCCTGCCAGACTTACAAACCCCCATCCCAGATGTTTGCAGAGAAATAAGCAGATTAGACGAAGACCAGTCAGCCGGAGTCATGGACGCACCATAACTCACCAGAGGTGCCACGGCAGGAGATCGGTGCGGGCCCCCTGCCCACCCTCGCACCCACGTCCCCATTCCCTCCCTCCACGCGGCCTCCTCCTCACAGACAGGATGTCAAACCCAAGGTGCAGAACCAAGGAGCTGCTTCGGGGCCGGTGGGGCTGTGCTTGGTGGGGACCAAGCAGGGAGGGTCTGTGGGGGAGCAAGGAACTGCCCCGCTGCCCAGCTGGAGAACAGTGGGGGCTTGGTGTCTCGCGTGGGGGAAACTGAGGCCCGGAGAAGTGTGGGTGCAGTCAAGTATACAGAGCCAATCAGGGCAGCCCTGGGGTTTGAAGGGGGCCCTGTTTCCTGGCAGCAGAGGCTGTTTCTACCCCGAATCTGATCAGACACAACCACTGGGAGGCGGGAGAGGGAGGAGAGCAAATGGAGGAGGAGGAGGCAGATTAAAATTTCTGGAAGAACTGAAGAGAACCAACACAGGGATAAGAGGGGTCGACCCTGGCCTCTGGGGACAAGGGAGCCCCCGGAGCCTCTGAGGGGACATCAAGGGACCGAGAAGGAAGTCGGTGTAGATGCTCCCCAGGGCCGCCTTCGGGGGTGGGGGTGGGGGGGCACTGGGGCAAGGACCCGGGCTTCCGGGCATGATGAGAGCGACAAGCCTCACTGGCGTGCCGTGCCTGCCGCGGCCTGACGGGGTGCCAAGCCCCAGGCCTGCGTGCCTGCTGTGGCCCCGGCCTCGCTTGGGCCGACACGCGTCCTTTCCTGAGGGCGACTAGGAGACAAAGAGCACCAGGCTCGGGGACAGCCGAAGGTGCAGGGGCCGGCGGGGGGCGGCCTCAAAGACCCCTCCCCAGCTCTCAGATTGAGGGTGCTGGGGGTGGGTGAAGCGGGGAGCTACGAGAGGCCACGGAGTCTGGAGAAGCAAAGCAAGCACACAGCAAGGGGGGGGCACGGCACGACACACCACAGAAGCCGACTCGGATGGGCGGGCGGGCGGGCGGGGCAGAGGCCTGCAGGCTCCCCCAGCCCTGTGGGCCCAAGACTGACCCCATTGGCCCTGCCCCGTTCCCTCCTGCCTCCCCACCAAGTCCTGCAGCCCATGGGGTGTCTGTCACAGGCATGAGGGTGGAGGGTGTAAGCACCCCCCATTTTAGAGGTAAAGAAACTGAGGTCCAGAGAGGGATGCCGCCTCACCCAAGGTCCTGCTGTGACCAGGGGGTGGGGGGGCCCTCCTGCTCGGGTCTGCAGGGAACAGGGGAGCCCGGAGGCTGTGAGCCCAAGGAGGAAGGGGGAACAGGATAGGACGGGTCCCTGCCTTCGACCTGGATACGGCGTTCCCTACCTCGCACGTAGAGGTTGGCGGGTGAGGAATAGCGCACACCGGCGCTGTTGGTAGCCACGCACTCATATTTGCCTTGGTCCGTCTCCTCACTGCTCTCGATCTGCAGGGCCCCTGCGGGGAGAGGGGAGAAAGCCTGGCCAGTCAGGGAGGGCCTGGGCCTGGGCTGGGTGGGCTGTCCCAGAGCCCCGTTCCGCCTGTCTCTTGTTCTGTCTGGGCCAGACAGAGGCAGACGAAAGAGATGAGTTAGTCTAGAAACCCTGGCTGGGCTGGGGGGGCTCCCTGGCTCGTCTCCCCTCCCCCCAATCCAAGTCTAGCCCCAAACCAGCCTAAACACACTGCATTTCCCCTGCAAAAGTCCTCCATTCTCACTGGGAAACCCAGTGGATGTCTGGCTGGTGCTTCAGAAATGACCGCCAGCTTTAACTACGGAGCCGGAGAGGTGTGTGCCACAGAGGGGTGTTTGCAAAAGCACCGAGTGATGCTCTCCAGGCAAAGGGCATTCATAACCCACAGCAGTCATCTGTGAGACCCTGGGGCCTCAGGGGCGGCCACAAGGAATGTGCAAGTTCAGGAAGCTCGTGGTTGCCCTGCTGGTTTCAACCAGTGCCCATGTGTAAATGAACACGGGTCTGGGTTCCTCGAGTGTGTTTGAAATGACAGGTCTCAAAGCCTGCAGTGCCCATAAATAGAGACAAGGTTGTCTTTCTTTAAGACTAACTGAAATTTTAGGACTGGGATACCTCTCACATTAGCTAAGGTAAAGGACGTTGAGACTGATATATACATCAAGTATGTTTGAAATAAAAAACTTGGATTAAAAGCCCCCTGTACCTGAGATTAATTGAAGAGGAGCTTGAATTTCCCCATGGATGCCCCTAATGTCATCTACGCAAGTCTGAATTCACCCACCTGTTTTAAAACCACAGGCCTGGATTCAGGATCCTGGTGCTGATGAGTAATCATTAATAAACTTCCTCAAGTGTGTTTGCAATTACGGTCCTAGACCCAGGTCCACGGCACTCTTGGGTTAATGGGGAAACTTTTCAAGTGTTTGAAATCAGAGATCTGAATGAAAACCTCTAATACCCACAAATAAAATGGAGGTTGAAGTGCCACAAGTGTGTTTGAAAATAACAAGCCAGGATCAAAGAATCTGTTGGTCATGAGTGAATAAAAGTCTAAAGAAGAGGCCAATTTCCTCAAGTATCCTTAAAATCATAGGCCCAAATCAAAGGTCTTAATGCCTATGAGTATATGAAAATAGAGCTGATTTCCCCTATGTTTGAAATCACAAGCCCAGATCAAATATGTTACTTCCCACGAACATATGAAAATGAATGAACCTTCTCAAGAATATATGAAAGCACGGGCCTTGATCAAACACTGCAGTGCCCATGAGTAAATGAGAATGAGGCTAACATTTCCCCAAGGATATCTGAAACCACAAGTCTGGAACAAAGCCTCATTTTCACAAGTAAATGGAGCTGAGTGAACATCTTTAAGTATATTTAAAATCACAGACCTCAAAAAATACTTGAACACCCATGAGTAAATAAAAACGAGGCAAATGTTTCCACAAGTATGTTTGAAATCAAAGGCCTGGATCAAAGTTTTCGTTTTCATAACTAAATAAAACTGAGTGAACATCTCTAAGTATGTCTGAATCACAGGCCTGGAGCCACATGCTTGTTGACCATGAGTGAATGAAAGATGAGTGAATATCTCCAAGTGTGTTTGAATCACAGGTATTAGAATTCCTGGCACCAGGAGTCCAAAAATCCAGTCCAAGCTCCCAAGAAGTCCCCTCTACCCAGCTGTTCATGGCTGTCCCATGGAAATGACATGGACCCACAAATTAGGACCCCAGATTAGTTTCTTTGTGGGCTACAGAAGCAGGTTCTTCCCCCATATCCCACACTTCCTACTTTCCCCCAACCTCAAGGCTCTGAATAGCAGGCAGGCAGGCATTACTGTGGAGGCCCAGAGAGGGCAGGGAGCCTGCTCTAGGTCACACAGCATCCTGTGGCAAAGCCAGGACCAGGACATCGACTTTTCCCTAGGGTTCCCACCCAGGCCTATCCTAGTCTATTCCAGTCAGCACTAGGGAAGTTGGCCCTTGAGACTGCCTGTCTCTCTGCTCCCTCGGGCAGGACCCTCAGATCAAAAAGGACGGGAAGACTGAGGCTGGAGAAACACAAGGCCTGTGTGCAAAGCAGTGATCAGAATCTGCTTCCCAGAGCGCTGGGCGGACATGGGAGGCACTGCTCCTTCCTGAGGAGACAGCCCCTTCCCTGAGGCCAGATGGCCTGAGGGGCAGCCATGGCCACACTCGGCCCCCCAGCCACACACAGCGACATAGACACAGAGACTGGACAGACACTGGGCAGGGTGGCAAGGGGGAAATATGTGGAAGGGGCCTGGGTGCAGCCCCCCATGGAGTCTGGGGGGCTGGGTGGGCAGCAAGAGAGAGCGTGAGTGGGCGGGTGGGTGAGGAAAGAGCCTCTTACCTCGGATCGGAGTGCTTTCTGTAAGGGAAGCAGAGAGAGTCAGGTGAATTTCAGAAGGCAGTCCTGGGGGGCCGGGGGGGCCCCAGGGAGGCCAGGCTGGGCCAGAAGCCAGGCCTGTCCACTCTGCCCCCAGGGGGTGGGGGACTGAGCCAGCCCTGAGCCTAGGGACCCTACAGGGTCTGAGGGCTTGTCAGTCAGGAAGGCTTCCCACAGGAGGCGGCAGTCTCCTGGGGAAGGAGGGACTGAGTCCAGAAGCCCCTCTAGACTGTTCTTAGGGGTGTCCCTATGGCCCAGGGAGGTCTATGGCCTGGCCTGGCCCTGTTGGCTGCCTTCCTTTTGGGCTGAGGGAGGGAGGTCACGGACCTCCCTTTCTTCTTTCCTTCTTGGAAGGGACAGGGAGCGAGGAGGGTCTTGGGAGTCTTGTTAGAGACAGGGGAGAGGGGTTAGTGCCCCAGGGCTGGGCATTAATAAAGCAAAGGGAAGGCGTTACAGATAGGCCAAGTAAGGGGGACAGGGGAGAGCAGCAAGGGGGAGTGAGGGCGGAGGGAGGGCCCTCCCGCCTCCTTAACCTCCAAAAGGAAAAGAGGAAAGGGCGATCTGCACGTTGACCTGGGCGCTGGGGGCAGGGGACAACTCAGGACACACAAAGAAGGCGGTCCTGGCTTGGAGATTTATACCCCCAGCTCATCTTCCTGGGAGAGATCCAGCCCCCTCTCTCTCTGCTGACGGACAGCTGATAACCCCACCAAGAACAAGTGGAGCCCGGAAACCCCAAGGCCAGGGCAGCGTGAGAGAACACAGCTCCTTCCGCACAGTGAAGGCAAACCGATGGGCAAACGGATGCCCAGAGGGGCCGGCAAATTGTCACACCATGAGTCAGAGGCAGGGGTGGGCTCTGAACCCAGCTCTCCAGCCTCCCAGACCTCTGTATTACCTCTTACAAAATCCTCAAACCGACGAGGCCCCCTTCTCCTCTTTACTCGGGAGGAAATGGGAATTCACTTAAGGTGGCAATGACGACCAGAACCTAGGTCGGTGGGAATCCAGAGGCCAAAGAATGGGACCTCCCAAGATGGCCAAACAGCCCAAGGCCACTATATTGAGGGGAGAGGATATGTCTCTTGGGTATTAAAGGTGGTTCTACTGCTTAACCCGAGCAAGAGGAGAAGGAACTTTCATGGGCCAACATCAGTCATTCTCACTCTAGTAAGAATTAGCCCTGCAGTTGGTTTCAGGGCATTTAGGCTGGATGTTGGTAAAAGAGGGAAGTGCCCAGTGCCAGCCCAGCTGGAAAAGTCCTCTCTCCCTCTCAGACCCAGCTCCCAAACTTCTGCAAGTTCCTCATTTTCCAGCAATGTCAAGGCTGGGGGACTGTTAGGTGCAAAACTCCACTAGCTCTAGGATTCCCCTAATTTCCCCTTAGTCCCCATTCTGGGGTCTGACCGGCCCCCTTGTGGCCTTGTGTTTTTTCCTCTTTTCCTTTTGGGCTCCTCTCTCTGCAGCCCCCTGGTGCCTGACAGGGGAGGGCTGGGTGGCTGGTGGGGGAGGGGGGTCGTTAGTAAACATGCCACGTGGAGTGGGTCATCGTTACTGTCACAGTGGCTGTTAGTCTGCGGGGAGGGGGCGGGCGGGGAGGGGAACGAAGAGGGGACGTTAGTTGTTGACGTGGTGAACAAATGAGACTTACCAAAGGTTTCTGAACGTTTACAACAGAGGGACAAGAAAAGAGAACAGGATCATTAATGGGTGTTATGCAAAAGCCTGTATCCTCACTGGGGCGGGGCAGGGAGGGGAGGTCAGAAGAATAATCAGATTATGATCAATAAAGCAGCTCACGTTTGCTGAGCACCTAGTCTGTGCCAGGCATTCCGTCACGAGCCCCTCACACCACTGCCAGGGAGGAGGTGCATTATATGGTCCTGAGACCCAGAGGAAAAGACCTTCTCTAGGACACAGCGGACACGGGCCCAGGCGGCTGGGCCCTGGGCTCCCTGCTCTTCATCAGCCCTGTCTATCGGGGCCCGTGAGGGCAGAAGCCAGCAGGGAAGGAACTGGATCCTCAGGCTGCCATCATCCCCCAGCTGAACCCCCCAAGCTGCAAGTATCTTCAGACAGGATAGGAGGAGGAAGGCTGTCTACCCCCCGCCCCGCCCCGGGGCAAGGTCCAGGTCTCTCCAGGGAAGAAACTCTGGGCTTAACGTCTTTCCCTTCTCAGAGCTTGGGTCTGAGCTGGGGAGAAGTGGAAAGCAAAGGACGGGCAGACAGACCTCTCAGAGGATGGGACCGGGCAGTGAGTGGGGGCATTAAGAACAACTGGGAAGCCTTCAGGCAGGGCTGGCTCGCAGGCGGGCGGGGGGCGGGTCCTCAGAGGAAGTGGGGAGAGAAAGCAAAGTGGTGTGCCCCAACATGTGTAACAGTGGACGAGAACACGCGGGAGTACACGCGGGCACATCCCTACCACGTTTGCACACATGGGGACTGCAGACGTGGCCTCAGACGTGTGCACGCGCCCGGGAGGGACAGTAACGTGGGTGCGCGTGCAGCCAAGATGCACGTGGACAAGCTCTGCTCTGGGAGGGAGAAGGCGAACCCACGTGCAGGCAGCACGGCCTGCGTTGGACCTCACGCGGGAAGCAGGTCAGGCCGGCATAGGGAGCCCAGACAAGCACATGTGGACTTGTCATGAAGCAGTGGGACAAGTGACAGAACACAACAGCCCCCCCAGACAGACAGACTCACAGATGGGGCACATGGGTGTTATGCCGAGACACAACCGTGGAACCACCCATCCCAAGGTGGCCAAGGCCTTGTGCTCTGGCCCGGCCAGGGCCTGGACAAACAAGCTGGACTGCCTATCTGTGCCCCGTCACGTCCCTAGTGCTTCGGTCTTGGAGACACTCTCTCCCTGCAGCTCTCTATGGCTCCCCATTACCTTACCTGTCTAGGGCCTCCTACCTCCTCTGTAAACGCTCACTGCATCAGCACTGGAAATACTCTCTTGCCTTTGCCTTAGACATCTCCCCTCTACTCTGGCCTGTCTGCACCCCATTATATCCTCACTGGACAGGTCTACGGCTTCAGCAGAGAAGATGCTCTCCCTCCGCCACCTTCCATGCCTCCCCATTACCTTGACTGTCTGTGCCCCACCACACACCCAGTGGTTAGGCACTGAAAATGGCCATCCTCGCCACTCTCCACGGCGCCCCCCACCTCTGCCTGTCTGAACTGCACTGTGTCCCCACTGCTGGGGCCCTGCTGATATGCCCCACCTCTGTGGCTCTCCATCACTTGCAACATCTATGCCTCATTAGGACGGCGCTGCTTGGGGACTGGAGACACTGCCCCTGTGATCTCTCTAGCTCCCCATCACTGTGCATACCGGGGTCCATTATAACCCCAGTATATGGACACACTCCCCTCCTACCATCTGCCATAGCTCCCCACTGCCCCTGCCTGTCCATGCCCCATTATATCCCTGCTGGCTCAGCTCTGAAGATACTCTCCCCACGCCAATGCCCTCCCCATGGCTACACATCCCCTCTGCCTTTCTGTCTCCCATTAGTCCCCAGGGCTTGGGCCCTGGAGATGCCGCCCTCCCCCCGCTGCCCTCCATGGCTCCCGCATCCTCCCGGCCACCTGTGCTCACCTGACCGCAGCTGCTTTATGCGCCCGTTGCTGGCACTGGGGTCCACAGGCAAGAAGTCCTTGAACCAGGTGATCTCGGGGTCGGGGTTACCACTGGCAGCACAGAGCATAGTAGCTGTCCGTGTCCGCTCCACCACCTTCAGCTGGGGGCCCATGTCGATGTTGGGGAAACCGGGGGGCAGCTGGTCCTCTGAGGGTGGAGACAGGGGAAGAACAGGGATGACCCTACAGGGTTGGGGGAGGAGGGGGCGGGTCCAGACGCTGCCTGCCCAGGGCAGCTTTTGTGGCTTGCTTCCTGCTTGCATCACTCCCATGGGAGGTAGTGCAGGGGCGGGGGGGGGTGTAGATAGGGCCAGACCGGTGCTTCTCACTCAGGGCCACTCTGCCACCTGGGGGACAACTGGAGAGGTCTGGGTGGGGGGATTCTAATGGTCACACCTGGGGTGGGGACCAGGGATGTTGCTCAACACCCCATAATGTCCAGGACGCCCCCTTCCCCCCCGGCCCCGAAGAATGACCCAGCCCCAGTGTCAGCACGGCCCATCGGGAAAGACGCTGGGGGTCCTTTAGAGCATCCAGAGCTAGTTTTAAAAACATAAACTCAGGCGCCCGGGTGGCTCAGTCGGTGAAGCGTCTGCCTCTTGATTTTGGCTCAAGTCATGATCTCAGGGTCGTCGGATCGAGCCCCTCATGGGGCTCTGCACTCAGCAGGGAGTCTGCTTGAGGTTCTCTCTCTCTCTCTCCCTCTGCCCTTCCCCCCGTTTTAAAAAATAAACACATACACATGTAAACTGAAGCCCACCACCCCCGTGCTGCACACCCTTCCACTGTGGTCCTCACCACCCTCTGGGGGGACCCTGGATCCTCGCCCACGCTGCTCCGCCAGCCTCGGCAGCCCCGTTTCGAGCCACCCTCACACTCTCTGTCCAGCCACACAGACCTCCTTGTTCCTCAGAGACCTCAAGCTCCCTCCTGCATGCCCCTTGGCCTCTGTCTACGTATCCACGTCCCCTCAGGCTGGCTCACACACCTGAGCCACACATCCTCCTGGACTCCAGTCTGAGTGTCCAACTGTCTGAGTGTCCAACTCTATCTTGATGTACCTCTGTCGCCCCCACGTCCCCACTGCCCGACGCAGGGCCTGACACACAGTAGGTGCTCAATGAATGTTTGAAAAGCTCAGTTCCAGTTGCTGTTAAACCACGAGAGTCACCATGCCTCCAGGCCTCGGTGTCCCCATTCACTGGCCAAGGTCTAGCTTCCGTCCGCGGTCAAGGGGGTGGGAGAGCCACCGGGAGGAGAAAACGCCCCTCTCCCTGGAGGCCCTCAGCCCCTGACGTCCAGTGCCCGGCAGGAACGTGGCCGTGGGCGGAGGCGATGAGGCGGGCCATGTAACTGGCAGGTGGCCTTCGCTTGCCTGCCTGAGAACCTTACCGGGCTCTGTGGCCTAATTGAGCTGGCGTCACGCCAGGGAAGGGAGGCAGCTCAAGGGCCTCCCAAAGGGTACCACCTGCTCCCCGACCTCCACTCTCCCTCTCCAGCACCTGGACTCCAGATGCCTTTTGCTCTGACCCCGAACACCCCCAGCTCCAGTCTGGCCTGTCACCTGCAACGGACAAAGGATTCCCCAGGGCCAGGGACCAGGCTCCTCAGTGCGAATTTAAATAGCCACTCGCCCCATTACAGGCCAAAAGAAGCCCCACTGCCCCCCCAGTTCATATTGAAGCCCGAACCCCCAGGATCTCAGAATGTGAAGATCAGGTCTTTAAAGGGGTGATTACATTAAAATGAGGTCACCGGGGTGGGTCCTAATCCAATCTGACTGGTGTTCTTGAAGGAGGGGAGACCAGGACACAGACGCGCAGAGGGACAAGCACGTGAGGACAGGGGAAGACGACAGCCGTCTGCACGTCCAGGAGAGAGGCCCCCTGGAGGAACCGGCCCTGCCGACACCCCGATCTCAGACTTCCCACCCCCAGGACTGGGAGAGAATATGTCGTTTAAGCCGCCCAGATGCTGGGACTTGGTTCCAGCAGCCCTGGCAAACCCATGTGGTCCCCACCCCGATCCTGATGGCCAAGTGACAACAAAACTGATCATGTGTGGGGGCTGGTGAAACTGAAGGCAAACAGGCAGGAACACGGGGGGGGGTACAAACCCTACGAGGAGGGATGCCCTGGGGCCACCTGCCAGAGACCCCTGACCCTCCGCTCCGCAGCTACGGTCTCCACGTGCCGTACCCTAGAGGAGGAATGCAGAGTGGCTCTGAGCAGCTAAAGGCTGGCAACAACCTAACCAGCTGTCAAGGGGGACTCATCCACACACTGGGCCACCCAGGGGATGCGATACAAAGTCCAGACACACTGCTAAGTGGACAAGGTTCAAAGTGAAAGATGGTATAGAAGAAGGATCAAAAACTACCGCCCCGAGGCCAAACTTGGCCCTTGGCTTGTTTGTTAATAAAGCTTTATGGGCACACGGCCACACCCCTCTGTGTCCATGTCATCTACAGCAGCTTTCCGGCTCTGACAGCAGAGCTGAGTGGTTGCAACAGAGACTGGCCTGCAGAGTCAAAAATATTTCCTCCCTGGTGTTTTACAGAAAAAGCTTGCTGCCTTCTGGAACAGATGCTGCTGCTATCCATGTGAAGAGAAACGATACACAGGTGTTTGCTTACAAAGGCCCAGAAGGGGCAGTGGGCATGGTGGGCGCTTTGAGACCCGGGACTGGGGGACTGGAAAAGAGGTGGGCGAGAGACCACCATGCAAGAGAGACTGGGGCTCCGGGCACACCATGAGGAGGGGAGGGAGACAGGAGGCCAACATGGGGCAGGGGAGGCTGCAAGCAGGGGCAGCATCATCCCATTCCTCCAGTGGAACGAGAGAACTGCAGTCTCGGTCCAGGGATGCATGGAGGGCCAGTGGCCCCGGTCCCAAGTCCTGAACACTATGTACCAGGCACTCTGCAGGCACGTTCCTGTGCTCTCCTCAAAGATGGGACCTATTTCCCAGAGGGGGAAACTGAGGCCCGGACAGACACACAACTGCTCCACGTCATACAGCCAGGACACAGCCAGGCTGAGATTCATACCCAGGCCCAGTTAAGCCCAGAGGAAGCTGGGAGGGGCCCGCTGAGGCACCCCCAACCCCCCAGACTGGACCTACTCGAGTCTGAGGAGGGGTGGCTGGACCCTGTCCAAGGTGGGTCAGGCCTGTTGGGTCTTCTTGGGGCCTGAGGCCTGAAGTGCAGAGGTGCTTCTGACTGGCTACCCATGATGTCACTGGAGGTTAAGGCGGAAAAACCCGGCCTCCCTTCTTGGCGCTCCAGGCTGGCAGGTGCGCACCTGCTCACCCGCGAACGCATCCACGCCCCAAGCGCGCTCACACATGTGCGCGGCCCTCGGGGGTCCCCGCCAGTGCGTGTGGGTGGCAGCCAGCGGCACGGGGGCTGGCAGAGGCTGCGGCCACCTGACGGTACCGAGAGCTCCTAATTAAACAAAGATGTTCATTGCGTACCACATTGTGCCCGATTCCTCGGAGTTTAATTAAAACAACAGCACAGGAGGCGTGAGCAGGGTCCACAATCAGAGGGCAGGGGAGGGAGACGGGGAGAGCTGGGCCCAACAGCCTCACCCTTCCCTGCCGGGCGGGAGAACCCTGGGCCTCAGGGCCCCGAACTGGGGTGGGGCGCTGGGAGGACAGGCGCTTGCTCCTGGGTCAAAGGCCCCGGCTGGGCATCCAGCCCAAGCAACCACGTCCTCCAGGCGGACGAGAACAGAGCAAAGCCAAGGAGGCCTTGAGGGGGGGGAGGGGGGGGGGGGCAGGGAGCACAGAAGGATCTTTCCCCAGCCTCCAGCGACTGGGCGGCTAATAGATTCACAGCATGTCCTTTTAACTCTCTGAGCGCTTACAATGGAGGCTGGCATGGGGCAGCGGGAGGCAGGCTGTTCCGTCTGTGCCCGGGAAAGGTCAGGGCAAGAATATCTGCTGGGAAGAGGCAGGGCGGGGCGGGCCGGCCGAGCGGGCTCCCTGCCCCCTTCCCCCCTCCCTCCCCCAGCGGGACAGGCTCCAGGACCTGCGTGGAGGAAACTATGGGGCCTCTTGCCAAACGGACAGAGCGCTCGGAGGGAGGGACCCCGTGCAGGAGGGACCCCGTTCAGGTTGCACCCAGGGTCCAAGACCAAGTGCCCCCTGGGGCCAACATGCCGCCCACCCGGCTCTGCTGCCCTGGGAGAGGCTGAAGAATGCCACCCTGGACGCCACAGAAGGGCTGGTGGCAGCCGTCCCACTAAACTCGGAGTGCGAACGATGACGCTGGGTAGCTGGAGTCAGCCAACCGCTTGGTCCCTGGGCGGGGCCCCGGCCTCTCCCGCACGTGCTCCACCTACCTGGATCACGTGACTCCTCGAGGTGCGCCTCATTATTCCCCACTCGGGAGGTGAGGGCCATGGCTCAGGGAGGTTTATTAGTTTGCCCAGGGTCACACAGCTACAGAGGCTAACACCCCCTTGCCACAGAGCAGGCAGGAGGGAGCAGCTGGCGGGGGGCGGGGGGGGTCTGTGGCGAGGCTGTCTGAAGGGTGCTGTTTTACAAGGAGGACGTGATTTCCTGGTGCCCCCAGCCCACCCAAGCGAGGCTAGCCGACAGCCCAGCAAAGCAGTGTTCCCGAAGGATCTGTGTGAATGCACGGGAGGTGGCGGGCAGCTGTTTGCACCTGTCCAACATCTATTCCTCCTTTGTCCCTTTGGGGGAACCGCCCCTTGCTGACCCTGTCTGTGTGGGCTGATAACATCCCTGACTCCAGGGAGGACTCTGCCAATGGGAGTATTTGTTCCTCTGGGCACAGTAACCGGCTCAGGGATGGCTACCTAACCCAACCGGGGCAAGGAACCGTAGTCCCAGATCATCTGGTCCTCTATTTGGGGTGGGGGCCTGTGAGCCTGGAGCTACTGGGGGTCATCCCACTGAGGACACAGTCACTATGGAAGAAAACAAACCCAGAAGCAGAGAGAGGGTGAGACCTAGGAACACTGCATGAGTTCCTGGATCTAGCTGAACCTGAAGCTGGCACCTCCACAGACATTTTCATTACACGGATCAGTGAATTTTCTTTCTTACGTGAACCAGCTTGAAGTGGATCAGGCTCTTGTAATCATTA